GTTTTTGCACCTCTCTTACAAAAAACACAGCTCTGTGATGAGGAACATATGCTAGCCTCTGATTTATCTCGAGCAAACGCTGTTTTTACCATCTAAATAATTACCCCAATAAATAACTCAGACATCCGTTGTCTCATGTTTCCCATGGGTCAAAATGTGCAAAATCACTACTCTGTTTTAGCTGTATGTCCATTTTTGTTATATTCATCTCACACTACATAATAGTGGCTGTGTCTTTTTTAAATAGCTGTTTCGCACCTCTACAATTACTCAAACCTAACTCAAGGACATCTGTCGTGTCCTCTTTTGAAACTAAATATCTGGTCAACTCTATACTTTCTATGCACCATTTGTTTTATTCACTATATAACATTAAAAACAGAAACCCCAATAATAATGGTTATGTCTTTTTTAAAATAGCTGTTGTCTCCTCATTTTTTAAACTAAATATCAGCTCAACTCTATTTAATATACAAATCACTACTATACTTTCTATGTACCATTTGTTTTATTCACTACATAACATTACAAACTGCATCATTACCTGGTCTTTATTTTTTTAGATTCATCTATCACGGGGGAGAACAACTGTGCGGGCTGAGGATTGAGGGAGGGGCTATGAGAACCTGAGGGGGGGTATCTATACTGTGTGTCACCTGATCAGGCGGCCTCATATTACATTTAGAGGTGCATTTGCAGTTTTCCTGACAAGCGCCTAGGCTGTGAAGCACAAGATTAGGGACACAAATCTGTTTCAATGAAAACACCAGCTTAAAATTAACCCTTAAATTCACATCTAATCTGCTGGAGTTCACGCTGAATAATATATTGTGCATCATGAAGATTATATTTAAATAAGATAAACTAGCCCCCAGCATGTGGCTATAGATGTGAATATGGTCAAACTGTGATGGTGCGCCTCAGAACGCACCATCTGTAGCCTACTTACAGGATGTAGCCAGAGGTGATCTGCAGCCAGTGCTTGGGAATCCATATCCACGTTAAAAAATTACACATAATAACACATAAAGGCAGCTCATGAGCCAAGACAAAAAACAAACACCCTGCAGACATCTCCATTAATCCTGTTACGCAGCAGGTAAAGTCAGTCCAACCTCACTGTGGCTGCTGTCACTGTTAAGTTACAGTTTCTTCAAACGAACAAGTTTCACACAGACATAACTTTGTTACTACTGTGGAGATATACTATGTTGTGTTTGTTTTTGTATTTTATGGTGGTTTGATCAGCTTCGAAAGCAGCTGTAGGTGGAGATAAAGTAGACGAGACATCCACTGGCTGTGTGCTCTGGCGGACCACAGTCAGTTTCACCACAAATGCAGTTATTGTATTATACGCTGCCATGCACAAAATCTGGTCAGTGATACAAGTGGATTACTAAGTGTGCAGTACTTCTACATAGGTAGTTGTGCATGGAAGTGCACTGCATCTTTGGTCACCAAAACTGCAAAACACCGTTGAGCATGCTCATATTCACCTTGTTCCTGGAGTTTAGAGATGGGTTTAGCACTGTGTCCTGTTGCAGGAAAACATAGCCCTGTAAGATCATGTGCACCAGATGTCAGGCTTGAGTGTTTCCAGATAAGTGAGAAAATATCTATCCACATTATTGTCATTGTTTGCTAGCGGAAAAGACAAAGCAAAGGTCACCTGAACACCTGCTGTGTTTGTTTTTGTTACAAAGAACATAAATGCCACCTCCCCACCTACTGGGCTACTTTACATAGTGAAACTTTTGATACCACCAAGATGTACACAGCTTGTAGAACAAGAGCGCAAAGAAACTCTGGTTAGAAATGTGCAGACATAATCTGTTTGTTTGATAAATGTAACTAAATGCATTTGTAAAATGCATTTTAAAGGGGAGTTAAGCCAAAAAAAGCAAAAGACAAGTTGTATTTTGCTGGCCTTGTAATTGTCAGTTTGAGATATTCACAGGAGAATTATTTTCCAAAACAGAAACAGTCAAGCACCTTGGTATGTGGCAAAGTGTAGGAGTCACCCACTCATAAGCAACAGCAAAAAATAAAAGAAAAATGTTTTGATACTGGTTAGGTTTACAGCCCACAAAAACTCTAATTATCATGTCATATGTGAAACTGTGGTAAAATAATTACTTTGTAGCTATACTTGTACAATATCAAGACAAGTATGTATATTGATATTTGTTCTGACATTTGTACATATTGTAGTAAGTATTTTACCACCTATATCACCTATACTTAAATAAGGAGGAGAATTACATTTTAATAGTTGAAATATTAACTGCAGTGTACAGTATTATTGTTAGGCTAACATTAGGCTAAGCCTGGGAAGAAGGATGTTTCTATATCTAGATATAGTCATAATACTGAGGAAAAAATACTGTAGTTTTGGAATCTTATCTGCTCATCAACATTGTGAGAGTAGAACTTAAATGAGCTTTTACGTCCTGATATATCATCTATCAAGCATTCAGACAAAAGCTTTACTGGGGTTTATTGAGCAACATACAGAGCAAACAGTAGAGTGAGTTATTCATTACACATAAATCATGTGATTTTTTTTTTATTGTTTTGCTCAACTTTTTTTAAAAGTATACATGAGTAATTCCAGCTGAGTTAATGACCTTTATCTTTTTGCTGTCTTGCTACAGTGCAACTACAGAGTATGCAGGCTGTAAGATAAAGCAGTCACTTGTTTTTTACTGTCATTACAGTGTAGTTACATGGTTTGGCCAGAACCTGTTGGTGACAGTACAATACCCACATGGCAAAGAACCAAAAATGTGGGGTAAAGTGTTTTCGGACTGTGGTAGAAAGTCTGAGTACCCGGAGAAAACCCACACAGGCACGAGGAGAACATGCAAACTCGTACAGAAAGGCCCAGGTCAGCTGTGAGTTCGGAACCTGGTGACAGTGCTAACAACTGTACCACCGTGTTGCCCTTATAAGTGTGTTGGATAGAGACTGTGTGATTTACGGACTGTAATCTAAAATGTTAACGCTGTTTTGATGTGTTTAAATCTAGTTAATGACACAGAGGAAGTGGGGCCACTGCAGAGAGTCGACATCAGCAACCCTGATACCACCGAATGGATCCTGCGCGACTTGGAGCCCGTGAGCAAATACAAATTCTACCTGCGCTCCTGCACCATGGTGGGCTGCGGCCCTGTTGTCAGCGAGGAGTGCACCACCATCCTAGAAACCAGTGAGTGACGGAGGGTCCAGAAATCAATTTACTAGGTTGTGTATGTCTAGATAAGCTTTCGGGTGTTTGGGTGGCTGGGTGAGTGTGTTGCTCTCTGGAGGAGACAACAAGAACACAGACAAGCTTTGAGGTGCAGAATTGGTTTGGCAGAATTCAGGCAAAGCGAAGTAGGTGATAAATCCATTTTACTATTTCAAAATGGCATTGAACGAGCACAATATGATATATTCCTGGGCAGCCAAGCTTTTCATATCTCCATGTAAGTAATTTTTGTGGATAAACAATTTCATATGGCTGTAGTGGAGGTTTTCATTTGTCACTGTCATGAAAGAGCAAGTGCTTATTGATTGGACAGAGAGCACAAACTATGAAACAATCAGCTAAAAAACAAAATTGCTTTGAGCAGGAGGGAAAATGAAGGTTCTGATACTGAACTGGGTAATCATGGAAGAGTTGGTGGGTAAGTAATCATAATGAGCCGGCTTGTAGCATGTAATCTTTTCTTTTCAATTATATATCATTTGTTGAGAACTGCACACTTCAGCTGGCTCAAATTCAAGCCAATCTTCAGTGAGATTACGGGCGGCGGTATGAATGATTGCACAGGAAATGAAACAGGAAACTGTATCTGGATTCACCTCAGTATCAGTAAAATGGACTGCAGTAACAGATGCTGTCAGCATAAATAATTGGGTGGTGCATTTAATTCGGATGCACCCCAAAGAAATTTGGTATGTTTTTGCTATGCAAAAAAAAAAAAAAAGCTCATTTTAATATTGAAACAGTGCAGGTGTTGAATATGTGAGCGATTACTTGGTGTTTACTGAAAGAATCCTTACAGTCACAAAAAGAAACTTGATCTTGGGGGTTGTTTATTTGCATATAGAAAAGCCAACCAAAATGATTAAAGGGATTTTTTTAATGTGCTGAATGGCTGTGTTGTAGGGCTATTACGTGCATGTGAGGCTTAAGATTTGAGCATGAAAGTTATTCATGGTAGCTCTGCAGTCACCATGTGTTTATATGTCAGTGTCTTTTCCCTTAATTGTCCTCTGCTCACTAAAAGCGCTTTGCTTTGAACATTATCGTTGATTGTACACTGTGTGTTGTGTGTATTGTGCAATGTGGAAACGTCTACTTAGCAATGCAACGCTTGTCCCCTCTGTCTTTTTCTGTCCTTCTTTTCTTGTTCTCCTGCAGCTTCCACTTTGGCTTCCGCTGTTGGCCTCAGTATGTAGATCTGTCTTTATGTAGACATGTCAGCCTGCGTACACATACTGTACACTCTCCAACTGCGACAGCAGACTTATTAATTCTTCCTTCTAAATTTGGAAATGTTGGTGTGACATGTTTAACTGTGATAATAGTTTTTTAGGTAGCAAGTGCATGATTAGATTTAGACGTGGACAGGTGTGGATGCTTTAAGCCTGAATCAGGTTTCAAGTTGCAAACAGTTCAACACATTCTATTTTTCCTGTGCAGAATTCAAATGTGCTAAACACTGTGCTCCTCTGGAGAGAATCGACCTTGTCTGCTGTTTGCCCTTGTCATCAGCAGAGAGCACTCTGATGCCACCTTGCATTAGAAAAATGTCAACTTCTTTGGAGAAAAAATGTGTGGCTTCCTCTCTAACAGTAATGTTAATGAGTAACCTAATTATAAATTCATGTTAATCTCGGCTCATTAGTGGCTGTAAACGAATATTGACTTTTATCCTAGCAACAGCCGACTCAGTGCAACATGTCTACTTCAAGCTGAGGAAATAAATGATGCTTTAATAGCCAAACCCAGGAAGAAGATCAGACATGCCACGCATCCAGCCTTCTTTTTAATGATGTGCAAAAGAAAAATTAACTCACTTTTAGAAAGCAAGATCATGTCAAATTAAAAGATCCTTTGCCTTGTGTATAAACAAATGTAAAATGTAGTTTTTCCTAGATGTTGTTTTACTGCGGTAGTTACTAATTATAGAGTTTAGTGGAAAAGAGCATGTGTGCTAACAGTAGAGTGTAGTGCCCCAGGCTCTATCCCAGTTGATAACCACAAGGTCTGTCTTTCTTTTCAGGCAAGTCAGCTTCCCCCTCACCTCCAAGCACTCCAAAGCTCCCAGTGACCAAACCCACTCGTTCCACCATAGGTAGAGGTGCAGCTCATTCTGACATAACAAGCATCAACCCGCACAGGCAGACAAAAGCTTTAAATACATGTGGAAAAACACAAATGCAACACATGTTTGTGTTTAATCTTATCATTTTGCAGTTGCTAGGGTTGCTAGGTGATATGATAAGTGCAGGAAACATTTGTTTGGCTGTTTGTTCAAAGTCAAATGATACCATAAAAATAAAGATGTAAAATGTCTCTATAATGTCCAGGCAAATTAGCTATTTTAGGTATTTTACCTTGATAGTTTATGTTCTTTCTAATGGTAACAAGAATTGAAATATAAGATAACAGCTCAATTTTATTGTATGCTAATGAAAAAGCTGCTTTTAATTTCTCTGCTGTACCACAGGGAAATCTGGGATACTAACTATAGAGTGCAGTCACTAGAACAAGACAAATACGTTCTGTGTAATTGTCAGTGATTGATTTGTTGGGCCCTGGACCCCCTGCACACAGCTGCGTATTGACCCAGCAGCCACCTGACATTTCCATATAATCTTCAACTGGGTAAACAGCAAAACGGCTTTGGGGCAAGAAGTTGTCTGGGGCAGCATCTGAGCTGAGAGAAAACAGTGAGGAGAAATGTCCTCTTGTGCCATGCTGGGGAGGTGTGAGCTCATACAGGGATGATGATATTTACAGGACACTGAGATAAGTGGATAAGTGGAAGCTGGTGAAAGCTCCTATATCAGAATGTTTTCTGGCCTCTCCTTATGAAAAAGCCTCCTGACTTTGAAGGGGCTTCTTCCAGGGCATCGGCTCCCTGCTGGGTGAGCAGCTGCTGTCTGCTGCATTTAATAGCAAGCTGAGGAGCGTGGTGACAAAACACGGCAGCCAGCCTTGGGATATTTTTAGTTCAGGGGCCTATGTCAGTCGAAGTCACTGTGCAGTTCCGCTGATTGGAATTACCATAGTTGTAGACTAATCCATCAACATTAGTCAGTGTCATTTGCAGTGGTTGAGATAGGCAGCACAGACGCAGGTGTCCTTGTGTGCTGAATTATCACCTGAGCAAATAATGCACCTGAGCTGGAGAACCAGCCCAAGATTTGCATGTTTGCCATGGGGAAATGAAGTGGATTGTGCTTTGTTGACTACTTCAGACAGCTGCTGTCAAAGCATACTTTTCCATACTAATGATGCACATCATTCACTACATTATTAGATGCTTTCTTCTGTTGAAAATCAAAAGGCTACATTACAGGTCTGAGTTAGATGGAGCTTTGAATTGCTTTTAGAGTATAATAAGAGCTGCAGCCACCACTGAGTTCATGTCCTCTGTGTTGTTTTTGTAAATTAAATTATACATTGTGGGCTTGAAAGATTTGTTGGAACTTAGGATTTTCATTAAACCTTTGAGCTGATTCAATTCTCTGATTAGTTGATTGACAGAAAAAACTTGATAACTGATTAATCATCCTTTAATCATTTAATGAAAGTCACTTGTCAAGCAAAAATATTAGGATACTAAGATGTGATGTTTTGTTTCTTTTATATCATTCTAAATTATAATTAATTTGTGTTTTGGGCTATTAGTTGAGACATGTGTAGACCATATATGTAGGCGATGGCCTCACTGTTTCCTGATTTTTTTTAAAGTAAAATATTAATTGATCAAAAAATAATTGTATAATAAGGACTGTATAATAATATAATACTAAGGACTGTATAATAATAAAAGCAATTGTTAGTTAAAGTCAACTATATAATATATAATGATATATAATGCATAATGTAATAAGGTTAAATTCATATTTTTCCAACGGAATTATAGCATGGCAGTATTAAGAAGGCATTTTGATCAACATGTAGGAAAATAATCATGGAATCAAGGAAATAGAACTGAACAGTAGAACTTCTAAATAAAATGAGAAAAAAAATAATCAGAATATTTTCATATAGTTTTTGTTTATTTTATCCTGGCTAGTAAAGATTTTGTGGGGGTATTTCTAAATCCTGGCTATGGGTTGGATAACTATAATAATGATGTGTGGATATATATGAGAGAGTCACATTAATTTCACTGTACACGAGTATAATGACAATATGATTTAGAAAAAAGTAAACTACTGTTGACCAATGTGAGTGTAATATGACAGTGTAGCAATCTAAGAATTCTATGTAACATACAAAAATGATCACATGACTTCCTTAAGGTCTCAGTAGATGTTCATTTAGCTTTCCAGGCTCCACCTGTGATTCCATTTCTATATGCACATTACCCTTGTGTGTGTGCTGGTGAGAGAGTCTCCTCTGTCAATGTAATTGATGCCTCTTGGAGGTTGTGTTAGGAAACAGAAGTGCACACTCTTCTTTTTTCATATAAAGTGAAGAGCTACATCCTTCATCGCCTAATGACGACACTCCTAAACCCTCCGTGATGGCTTTGATCTGCTTGGTACATAACCAACTCTCCTTTGCCAATTCTGCCTTTTTCTCATCTTGTCTTTTCTCCATCAGTCCCAGCCCTGTGCAGTGTTAGCTCAGCTGTTAGTGACAGCTTGGCAAATATCAGCTGGATAACTGGAAGAGAGCACTTCAAGTTTTATATCACATATATGAACAACCATAAGCCTGTACAGGTCCTTTTCTCTGCTGGTTCTGGACAATGTTAGAATGATTTAAGTAGATTCTGTAGGTGAAACATTTCATGACATCACCTGTGGTCCTTCATATCTACAGTAGATTCAGTAGTTGTGTGTTATCGGGTGATGGTCACTGGAAGATATCAGAGGCCTTAAGCACCTCTAAGACTTTCCACATCATTGACAGACTTAAACCTGGGACTGAGTACACCGTGCACCTCTTTTCTAACAACTGGGTTGATAATTCTAGTATATTTGAAGATGTTATCAGGACCAAGGCCACAGATGAGGAGGGAAACCAAAATAGCTCCAATTAAAACAAAAAAGCAGCTGAACTAATTGACCTCTTATTGAACAGAATGCACATGCACCCAGCGCAACCTTGAGAAGTGACTCAAGCCGCGATGTGTGGTCCTTCATGGTGTCACTGGGTTCTAATTTAGCTGCGTGTACTCGCTGAGAGGAATTACATTTGTACAGCGTTCAGTACTTGATTAATTAGACAAGCAGGATTAGCTGTTTAATATTAATATTGGACTCTTTCCATCAGCAGCTCGCCCTGTCACCTCCTGCCACTGCATCAGCTAGGCTTCGTCGATGTAAACATTCAATCAAGTGTCCTGATGAAAAGGCCAGGATGTGTCAAAGTCACCGGGTATTGTTCTCCTCAGGTCTGGCTAGCATCCATGGAGGAATATCCACCCAGGGCTGGTTTATCGGCCTGATGTGCACCATTGCTCTCCTCACACTCATTGTTTTGATCGCCTGCTTTGTCAACAGGAATAAAGGAGGGAAGTATTCAGGTAGGTGCTCACTTACAAGCACAAACACATCGCCTTGTTTAAATACTTACTGCTGTTTGGATCATCATTATATTTCCATTTCACTGTTTGCTGTTATAAAATACATTTATAAATCATCCTTGAAGCCAATGTGGGAACATGTAAGCTTATACGTTTTTTTTTTCCAGGCCTTAAAATACTTTGAATGCAAATGTATACATAAAATATGCTTGCTTATTGATAGGAAAATGTGGATTTCTAGAGTAGGTCCAACATTTGAATGTTACATTATTTAGACACGCAGCTTTTTCCATCAACAATCCAAACAAAGTGCAGCCCACAGCGAGACAAAATGCAAATGCTGCCCATGGAGTGGCTGCGCGAGGACTGATGACATAAGCTCTGTGGTATCTCAATGTTATTCCTCCTGTTGGGGACGTGAAAGTCCTTATCGGCTTTATTATTCACAGCTAATAGCCATCAGGTTGTCGTCTGGGCAGCGACTGCTTCACTCGTCAGCAGAAAAAAGAACGACATGCAGCTCTGTCCTTTGTTTTCTCATTAAGTTCTCATTATCACCCATAGCTCCAACGACCTCTTCTTTTGACAGAGACGTGGTGTTTCTGATACACCACATATAGGAATATACATTTTAATTCATACAGTATCAAAACAACATTTATATAAAACTATATTTTATGAAAGACAGCTTTATTTATTTTAATAAAGAATTACATTTCTATTTCGAAAATAGATTTATTGGAAATTTTGCAATCTTTTCTAAGGCTTGCACTCGTCTTTCATTCAGTGAGTAAATGCAGGGAATAAGGGACTGACACTCTTAAGTTATTCCAACAACGTTACCAGTCAGGGGACACAGTGATCTTCATTGGCAGCCTTCTCTTAAGGAAATCACTGATATCTCCTATTCATTTTGTGAGCAGTAAAAGAAAAAGAAGACCTTCACCCAGATGTGGAGTCCCAAGGCATGAATGATGACACATTTTGTGAGTACAGGTAAGTGTAACACTCTGAGCACTATTTCACCACCTCACTGCAACTCATGTGCAATGATGTGAGAATCCCTCCTGCTAGCAGTCATTTCCACCTTCTGTCAGTAATTCTCTTTGCATTTCTCCTGTCACTGAAAAAAGACAACCCGGCGTGCACGAGGTTCACGTGGAGTCTCACTTCTGTTCAAGAGATTTGATGGACTGAGTAACTGAAAAGTATGTGATAAACAGCAGTAGTATCCCCAAACTGTTTACGCATCAGTGTTGTCGGGGTGGTACTGTAGATTCCCTTTATAGGACTGAGATCTTAGATATGGTTTTATGGTGGTGTTTGTGATAGAGCCACAGTGCCGATCAGATGTTGCCATTTCCTGTCCGGATGGAGCTAAACGCAGGCTGCCCAACACACAGCAGGAGGCTAAAACCAATTAGTGTAATTGAAAGCAGCTCATCTCCAGGACAGTAATATCTGGGCACGTTTCATTAATCCTTTAGTGGTCCAATTCATAACAGTCTACTGCAGTATGAGTCCCAGTGTAATTCTCCAGTCAGTGGGATCTGTGCAGCACAACAAGTGCTGATGTGATGAAGTCAAAAGCAGCTCAGTGTGACAGGATTTAAACTTGGTCATGTTGACTCCAGGAGCCGGCTGCACCATCTATTCATAATCCTGTCACTAGGTTTCTGTGGAAAATTCTTCAAAGTTTATTGTAACAACTAGCTACTTTCAGACTAGTGATTTATCATGTTTGGTTGCATCAATAATATCAAAGAAATGTCTGTTTAAGACAAGTAATGTGTAAACCTGTTGCTAGGAAACATCTGTTACCCAAACCAATATACAATATATACTGTAAAGAGGAAGTCCCTTTAGCATGTAATCTAACTCCCAAATATAACAGGCTTAGGGGGGTCAAACTGAGTCTGGCTTTCTTGCCAAGAGTTAGATGAGAAAATCAATCCCACACTCATGATTGTATGGTAAATATAAAGCTGCCTCCAGCAGCCAGTTAGCATAAAGACTGGAAATGTAGGGAACAGCTATTATTTCTTGGCTGGGATCTGTTCTGATGGCCTGTAAACCTCAGTGTTAATGAGACTCAAGGAAGTATTTGCTTCCAACCAAGAAGCAGCCTGGCACACAACCATCTGTAAAACCACAGTGCTGTTTTTACAAATCTTTTCAGTTTATATGCAAAGCTAAGACAGTAGGCTTCATTTTGGCCATACATATATCAGAGTGGTATCAGTCCTCATTTTTTTTCTATATGCATGCATACTGTAGAGGTAAAATGTGTGGTTGGGAATTAGCACCATTGTAGTGTCCCTTAATAAGAAGATGAGAAGACTTGGTTTCACTGACAGGACACAGGCTACGGTGGGCTGTAGCCAGCATCCAAACAATAAAACATAACCATGCTGTTAGCCATGAATTAACCTCCATTTAAAGCTCTCCCAAAGCACTCCCCGAACTAGCATTAAAAACAACAAACTCTCTAACCACAGGCACACTTTCCAACCCTAATCACTGCCAGGTAGCTGAAAGTAGCTGACAGCCGTCACTGCATCTAAGCTAACATATTTACTGACAGCCTCAAAAAAACAGCAGCCAAGCTTAACATTTTTATCTTTTTTTACCCTTAGCTTTCTCAGTGAACAGTAATTCCTAAACTGTCACCTTTTCTGTTTCACTATCAATTTAGATTTAACCGACACCACCAGTCAACACTTTCCCACTGAACTGAATGAGAAAGTGTGTCCAGACTCTTGACTGGTAGCATAAATTGATATTATGTAGTTATTTATTCTGATGTTTTGTAAATTGAAGCATTGTGTGCTGTTTTTTTTTTTATTTTAATTTCAAATATTCATAGTTTACATCATTATTAAACTGAATTTTATCAGGAGTTGGGCCAGATGTGTTGACCATTTTCCAGGTTTACAAGCTAACATTATCTTTGTCTGTTACACTGTTTGTGTGGTGCAGCCGATTTAAATTTAGTGATGTGCAAATCTCATTAGTAAACACTTAGTTATGACTAGGCTAAGTTTGGTGTTGTCAAAGGCTCTAGTGTCACCAGGAATGTAAAAAGTTGCCTGTTTATGAACCTAATCATATAAAAGCATTAAATATTTAATAGTCTTGTACTCAAAACGCATTACTAGACCACTGCATGCACAGACTCATCAGCGCAACTTTAATGTCCCCTTCAATATTTCATTTCATTACCAGTGATTACTTTGTCATGTGCATTGATGCAAGTAATGTGTAATTGTCTCATCATGCGCATCTGTGTAATTATTTCCCATTGGTCAGCCGATGGTAAACAGTACTGCCAATTAAAGCAGCTCATTGTAGAGACAGCTCTAGCTCCATCCTCCTGTCCTTTCCAGTAAGCCATAGAGTGAAGTCATGGGTGAAATGAGGTAATTCTATATCCACCATACTCTCTTGCAGTGACAACGACGAGAAGCCACTCAAGGGCAGCCAGCACTCACTAAACAAGGAGATCAAAGCAGGGGACAGCGGGGACAGCCTGGTGGACTACGGCGATGAGGAAGCTCAGTTCAACGAGGATGGATCCTTTATTGGCGAGTACGCTGGGCGAAAGGAGAAAAGGATGTCGGGTGAGATCAAAGCCACCGTTCAGGTGCCGGCATGAGGAGCAGAACCGCTATCCATCCTCCCCCGAACACCCTTTTCATTAAACCTGCTGAGAGGAACAAATGAAAGAGGAAACAGACATTATCCATGCCGAGCACAAGTTCTGTGTCAAATGTAATGCGTCATTGCCAACTTCTCACTGCCATCCTTGTTTTATAAAGCTCTGTTTTGTCAAGTTGCAACAGAATGACCATTACTAAATCTTGTGTATATATAGTGTATATTCCTTTTTTATAATAATTATTACACAAAACATTTAGAGAGCTTTGATTTTCTTGTGTTATTTCCATTACAGCTCCTGTTCTGTAAAAATAAAAAAATTCACTCCATTTCACATCATTATAAGCAGCTTTGCCTCTGATGCCATCTTGTAACAGACCACAGATAAATGGGGATATCAAACTGATATTTGTCCACTGGAGCAAACATTACTGACCTTTTATATTTGAAGTGGATTTATTAAATTTGATGTAAGATGTGTATAAAGGTTGCTTATTAACTTATTTTTTCCAGTGGTTTTATACCTGACAAAATAACAATGATATTTACATATCATTACACATCATAAACACTGATTCTTGAGTCACAAACCCAGTAGGGCTTGGGCATATCTTCTGGTCTGTCCCATGCCAGTGTTTGGCCACTGTAGAGGGCGCTGTTTCGTGCCCAGCCACTGCATCATGAGCCACAAAAACTTGCATAAATCTCCCTGTGATGTTAGAAGGAAATATAATTAGTTATTATGCCTTCTTTCAAAGTATTCTGATCCACAGAACAGAACTGCCATAATAGACGTGTAAGAGGTTATCAAAAAAAAGAAAGTAATCCATTACAGGTATACATTTACCTCATTATAATTAAACCTGTAGGGTAAATCAGTAATTCACGTTTTCATCCAAAATTTCAGGTTTTTCAAAGTTTATACTACAAGTACAATTAGTGTTGAATCCAGTTTATAGACAGTTTATTGTCCTCCTAAAAAGGTTTTAGTTATACAAATAAACACAGTTTTGAGTTAAATTGTTGAGCTAAACTGTAGGCACATAGTTTTGAGAGTTAGATGAAGAGAATAATACACTCTCTTATGTGTATACTAGTGTGAAACAGCCATTTAGCTTAGCTTAGCATGAAGACTAAAAAGGAAACAGCTAGCTTGTAACAGAATCTACCTAACAGCATCTCTGAAGTTCACTAATCATATAGAAAATGTTACTGTATATTTTGTTTGTTTAATTAGTGTGTCTGTTTTAATTAGTAATCTTTAGAGGTGCACGTAGGTAGACTCTGTTAGCCCTGGACAGACCTAGTTCCTTCCCATGTGTGGGTCAGCCTTGGTGGTTTGAGCCCCGGCTTCTTTAGTCCACATGTTGAAGTGTCCTTGAGCAAGACACTGAACCCCTAGCTGCTCTTGGACATGTGTGAGTAGGTGAATGGGAAATGGCATAAAGTACTTTGAGTGTGCTTCAATGTGTAGAAGAGGGCTATATAAGACTATTTACCCCGGTTTTGCCTCTTCATGTTAAGCTAAACTAACTAGCTGCTAGTGGTAGCTTCATATTCAGTGTACCGACCGGAGAGTGGTATATTATCTATCATTCATCTAACTCTCAGCAAAACAAACTAATCCTTTACAGTGGTATTTTAGCATTTAGCACTGATTTTGGGGGGTTTGTGCCTGCTGTATACATACTTCAAATTGAATGGTCAAAGCCGGGGGGTTTGTGCCTACATACTTCAAATTGAATGGTCAAAGCAGCAGACACCAAGATATCCTGATGGACAGGATATCTTGACCTGACTTAGACCAGGTCAGGCTCCAAAAACACTGACTCAGAGATTTTTCATAATTCACCTTTCTTCAGAAACACCCACTTCTGTCAAATTCCATGCACCCAGTTTGTAATGCAGACTTTCTGTTATAAATGTGTAGTCTCTGTGTGCAAGTTGTGATAACCGTGGTGAAATCACTAGGACATCATCAGGGTTATTTAACAAACCTCCTCCAGAGCCACAGAAGACATTATACAGCTGTAAAATATAATTGGTTGAGTAGTACTCTTCATCAGTAAACTGTTTATGAAGTTGGTGGTGTGTCCCTTTAAGCAGAAAATGCATAGTACCTGTAATGGATTATAGACTTTGTGTAATCAGATTACAGTTATCTGGTTGAATGATATTTGACACCCACCAACCCTGCTGAGGTCCAGTATACTCTGTCAACAGTGTTACTCTGTTACCTTGTATATACTGCCATTCACCACACAGGCATGTTCATCATTAACATTAGCACCATGATCACAACAGCTGGAATGTTTTGTAAAAGTTCAGCCATGCATGTTAAGAATATTAAATTGGTGGGTTTTGATGTTATTAAATTGCTTTACTTTCCTACAACCTAGTAATGGTCTGACTGCCTGTTTAGTCACTGACAGAACATTAGTTATGTTTTCCATACCTGCAGTATAGCACTGTATGGCCTGCACAGATGAATACATGATTGAATGAATTTCTGGATTTTCTTCCAGCCAGCAGCAAAAATATAACTGGAGAGAATGCAGCACCTGGAAAAATATCGTCAGTCACGTGGAATAAAAGGGAAGATGTTTGACAAATTGTTCCCATTTGCAGTATGACTTTAACAAATGTCACTCAAGGGTCAAGTCTCTGTCTGAGTTGACAGTCTTGTTTGATTACATTGGCTGCAGGAGAGAATGATGAGAAATCAAAGGAGTGGGCTCAGACAGGCACTGGATCGAGGAGCAAGAGCTGTAATCATGTCTGATGGTTGACAGGAGGGAGTGGGAAGTGTCACTGTGAGGGCTCTCACTGCGTGGGTCACTTCTGTCTCAGACACCCGCTCATCACTCAGCCAGGTTTGGCACTGTTGCTACAGTTAGATGTTTCAGCTTTTACATATATGACCTTCAGGTGGTGATAATGGACCCTCTGGTAGCCATGCTTTAGATCCTCAAGCTTGCTGGCAGCAAAGTGAGTATTTGGATGTGGTCCTACACATGCAATCAGTGTTGGAGACGCTTAATTCCACAACATAACAATTACTGCTCTCTGGAGAGAAGCTCAGCTAGAGACAGTTTGGACAACTAAATCTTCTTAGAGACAATACTTTGCCAAAGGCAATAGGATACAAAAATATTAAAGGATTTCATCAAGTCTGTCTTACAATTTACAACACTCACATGATGTACACTGAAAAGTTTTTGATCTGTCATAATTCTTTTTGTCCATACTGTCTGTGAAATTATAATTTCCTGGCTCAACCTGAGGTGAGGGACAGTATTTACAGTGCTTATTCTCTGTTAAATTGTATTCTAAAGTTCAGCTGAATGAGGCTCAAACAGTCTTAAAGCTACTATCTCAAACCTTTTGGAAACGTGACCAATAACATTCACAGGCAAGTAAGACAGAGTTTACAAAACAGCTTTTCTACTCAATTAATACTTTTGATGATTAGAGTTCTCACTGTTGTGGTGTTTTCACCATGCGCAAAGCTAATCTTAAAGTGTCTGCAAAGACACAATTAGACATGCACAGGACACTGTGAAATGAGGCATCCTTAGGAGTTGAAATGTTTCAACCTGAGTGAAAAAGTTGCACATATCTGGGGGTGTTATGAATCCATTGCATAATCATACACAGAAGACCAGCTGAAGGGAAATAAAAAGAAGTGGTGAGTTTTGAGCTCAGTCAGAGGCTAAGCTGAACCCATCCGTGAAATCACCAAAATACTTTTTGTAGTCAGCATTCACCTTCTACTGGCCTGTTAAAATGTAGCAGTTTGATAGTTTACCGCTGCACAGAAAACACTGCCTGAGCCTACACTGGATTTATATCAGTTACACATTACTGTATAACAAGTTTTCAAAGAGAGGACAAGAACACAATATTCACATAAGGTTTTAAAATTACTCCTGCAGCATAATCCACTTAATGTCATCTGTAGGCACAGCATGTTCCAAACACTCATATATTCAACCATATATTGCTTCTGTTTATGGCATAAGGCTCTATAATTGAGCACTTCTTTTTTCTTCTTTTCGTTTTAATGTTAAAGTACAGCACATTTAGTTCTCTCTTGTGTATGAAATGTGCTGAATGAATTGCCTGCCTTGCTTTGCCTTCACTTACCGCAGACCTTTGACGTCTACAGCGGGTGAGTATTAGATAAGCTTTATATGTAATTAAAGGTGCATTAACTAAGATTTTACACGTTGTCTGATAAATCAAGTGAAAATGGAACAGGACATGGTGTCTCTCCGCTTTACTGCCCCCCTCCATCACACTCTGCTGCCTACAGCCCTTCTGTTGTTATTCCAGCCTCTGTACTCTGTGTTGTCAAAGTCCGAACTTTAAATTGCCCCTGCCTGCCACACAGCCACAGAACACCTCTCATCTGCCAAAAGTCCAAAACAGTGGCTGACAGACCGAAGAGGTCAAGTTAATGGGACAAAAAAAGATCAGGGTTAACATCAGTTTGGCTTTCTGTGATGGAGAGTGTTAAAAGCAGCAATAGGACTCAAATAATTGATTCTAACTGAGACTACTTTGAGCTATGTGTAACTTTAGTGCCTTGTGTCACATTAGCAGTAGCCAGAGCGTTCTACTGAACTGACAACTTGTTAGTCAGCTAAAGCTCACTTCAGACTAAAGCTGCATTTTGTACAGTTTGTAGCAACCAAGCATTTGTGGTTTATGTCGTCGCTAGGAAACAGGAT